GTAGAAGGTACTTAAGGCCTCTAATACAATATTACGTTCCGCTCTATATAAGATAGGGAGAATAAGTATCGGCCCTAGATATTAGAGAAGGCGTAGAATAAGGCTAGCTTTAGATATACGGACTAGCAACCTAAGATATTATAGAAGTAGGGAGTTAGCGACGTATACCTAAAGGCTATTAACGAGCTAGAGTTTAGAGGTAATTAACGGCCGTATCTAAAGATATCGCGATTCCGGTAGCACCTAAATCGGTAGAAATAAAATAAAAATAGTCTTACCCTTACCGTCGCCCGTATCTAACTATATATTTTACTCTCCTCTCCTATACTCGCTACTACCGCGAAAATTGCACCGACCGCGTACGCCGCTAATCCTCTATTTACTCCCTACTCTTTCGGCGTCGCGAAATGCTAGTAAGACGTATCGATCCGCGCTATCCTAACGGCGAAAAGGGAGTCCCTCTCCTAAACCTCGCCCGCTCCTCGCGTCGTCTCCGCTAGTCCTCTATTTACTACCTACGCTTTCGTCGTCGCGAAATACTAGTAAGACGCATCGATCCGCGCTATCCTAACGGCGAAAAGGGAGTCCCTCTCCTAAACCTCGCCCGCTCCTCGCGTCGTCTCCGCTAATCCTCTATTTACTCTCTACCGATACTATATATACTCCTATAGCGAAGAAAGGCGAGGTCGGATAGGAGCGGCTTTATAATACGTAACCGGAGCTAAGCGAGCGGGGACGCTTATAGCCGCTACGTAAATAGAGACCTCTAGCTAATTAGGTAGTCCTAAAGGTTATACTCTCGCTAGTTATTTAAAGCTAGCCCTAGTTAGCGAGATACCGAACTATATTCGCTCGAATATATTAGCCGACCGTACCTTTAAGGGTGCGGTAAAATTAGTATAAGGCGATCTACGATCTGCTAAATCGTCCGGATAGGGGGTTCAATTCCCTTATTAGCTATACCTTTTTTTTTTAATCTATATAATAATCTATATTCTGTAACCCTCTAGCTAATTAGATCGGTTCTAGATAGTAAGAGTTATTCGCTCGTAGTCCTTATAGAGACACGGGGTAGCGACTAGCGAGGGTATAACTTTTAGTATTAGAGGTTCGAATCCTCTATTAGCTATCCTTTTGCGCTCGCGTAAGGCGGCTAGCTATAGCCGCGAATTCTAGAGTTCCTGTACGTGATTTTCCCCGCATCCGGGAGCTGCCGCGCTAAGCGGGAGCGCCTGCGTGTTTTAAGGATACTAGAACTTTATATATATAAAAAAAAACCCCTAGCCTTCTAAGGTGCGTGCTTTCTTATCTGTACTAAGACGAGATAGAGACTAAAACCAAACGTGTCGGTCTATCTAGGGCCTCTAACTTGTCCGGTACCGCCGTCTATTTAGAGAGCGTATTGTCTTTACGCGTAGCAAAACCCCTAGCCTTCTAAGGTGCGTGCTTTCTTATCTATACTAAGACGAGATAGAGACTAAAACTAAACGTGTCGGTCTATCTAGGGCCTCTAACTTGTCCGGTACCGCTGTCTATTTAGAGAGCGTGTTGTCTTTACGCGTAGTAAGAACGAGATGCAGCTTTAAATATACCCTACGCGCCGCTACGCTATCGAAGACGTCGCGTAAGGGCAAATTACGGCCTAGAGACGATAACAAGTACAGAAAGTTTATAGACTAAAGGAGATAGATTGCTCTACCTACGATACCGTACTTAGGCTCCTCCGCCTTCTTTCTAAGTTACGATAGCGTCTGTCTCTAGGGCGCGAGCACCGTGCTTATAGCAGTCCTAAGGAAACGTACTACTCTCCCGTTCCTATATATATCTCTAGACGATAAAACTCTCTATTCCTACGCCCTATATTAAGGATTACTATCGCGTCGTCCGTATCGATTTAAGTATAACCGAAATTAGCCGCATTCTATACTAACTATAGCCTCCTTTTTATATCGAAGTCCCTTCCTGCCTCTACGTCGAAGAAGTCGTAGTATTTAATATAGCTATCGTTTCGCGGAAAGTCGAAGAGTTAGTTATATTATAGTAAAGCATCGATAGCGCTAGGAAGACAGATTTCCTCTAACAACCGTAGGTCGCACCTAACTAGGACCCTCTATACAAAGGTGCTATCCGTTTAGCTCGTTATAGTAGGATACGCGCGTAGAGGAACGACGACGAAGCGATCTATACCGAACGGCTATATAGTAGCAAGCTTTATCTACGCGAATTCGATCTAGAACCGGTTAGCAAAAGCGCTATATTCTTAGGGTACGCGACGGATATACCTAGCGACAATACCGAGGAAATAGCGAGTTAGACTTTTAGAGGTACAGTCTTAGCTCGAACTCGTCGAGTTCGTCGAGCCTATTAGTATTCGTATATAGATTAACGTAGACGATAGATCCTTCTATTTACTCTTCCCGTTACGCCTAAGTAGTAATAACGTTAAGGTTACCGTCTAGGTACTTATCCTACGACTACTTAGGTACGGAGATCTATAGGAGTTAGCTTTCTACTACTATATACTAGACGATATGCGAGAATACGTACTACGTATTCTTCGTCCCGAGACTCCGTCCGCTAGTAGATCTTATTTATAACTAGAGATACCAATCTCGATATATGCCTAGACGGCCGGTAATCTATAACGCCGTAGTACGGAGGTTTAGGAGAGAAGCCGTTATTCTTGTCTATATTACGGTTCTCGCGTACGCGGCGCAATACCTTCTTAGTAACTAGCTTATATATGTCTTATAGCGCTTCTTAATATACCGGGGCCCGGCCCGTAGCGAGTAGTTAGCGAAGTCGTATAGAAGCGCGAGGGTGCTTAATCTCGGCTATAGCGCGATTCAATTCCTAATATTAAAAGGCTCGCTACGGTATACTATATAGAACGTCTATCTCTATAGCTCGATATTAGCGAAGGTAGCGTACGGCGACCGATACGCTAGAGACTTACTATTAGGGAGGGCTATAGTAGCTAAGACCGTATAGGAGGGGCGCCTTTATCGAGGTCGCTACTAGTAATATCGACAACTAGAAGGAGGTAGATATAGCTACGTAGAAGTAGTCGCTATATTAGTTATTATAGTAGTAATGTTTAGACGACGCGTAACGCCGCAACATTACTATTTGTATACGTAACCGTCGCTACGCGCTAAGCCTATACTAGCTAATAGATATAAAGCGACGATATAAAGCGACGATATAAAGCGACTCGCGATAACAATAACGGTCTCTCGCGACGCGACGACGAACACTCGACCTTGCGCTTACTACTCTAGCTTAGATCCTACTACTATAACGTCGGTATCGTCGCTAGGGAGGTATTAATACGAACGAAGTCGTTAAGGACTCGAGTTAAGGCGAAGGAGCGCGTCGTCTACCTCTAGCGGTATAATTCGGTAAGATATGTCTTCTAGAGCTATAAATTTATATCGTATCGAGGGATATAAAAAGATGTCCGTTAAGTAGATAGTACGCTAAAAATCACAACAAATGTACTAAGATTATCGTAGATTTCCTTCCGTAACCTCCCTAAATACTATATTCTCCCTTACGCTCGGTACTACGATTGCCCGCGCCTTAGTTTATTATAACGCTCGACTCGCTACGATACTCCTCTAGCGGGGCGAGACCGAATAATAATAATAAAGGCTTTCGCCGGACGGGAGCGCTATATATAGTTAAGAGACAACTCCGCGTCGCTACCTAGTCGAAGCCTATACCGTTACGGAGGAGCCGGAAATAGTCTAAGAAGTAGGTTATCTTAGCGTACTTATCGCTAAACAGGGCCGGGAGCTATACCGTCCGTTCTTAATCGCGAGTAGTACTCTCTAAGAGCAAGGCGACGCTAATACTATAGCCGGATATCGTATCGAATTAATACTAGATCTCGAGGACCTTTATAGCCGCCTTATTAGCGACGTCGTTATAGAAAAGGCTAGTAGCGATATAAAACACCTTAAGAGGCTTCGCGATAGTCGATCCTTCTACTAGCTGCGATTCGAATATCTATCTAAGGTCTAGCTTCCGAGGGACGATACTAAACGAAGGAAATAAGCCGAACCGCCGTAGATCGAGAATCCTCTATAGCGGGCTAAGTAGTAGCGAGTCTTACTATATCTTCGTAAAGAAAACTACCGACTTTTACGGTAATTCCTACTAAGTACCGTAAACCTCCTTATACTAGAATTGTTAGCCGCTATATCGGGGTACGACCGCTACCGTACTACTTACTATAGCTTTCTATACCTCGGACCCTTTAAGACCTTAATCTTAAGCGTACGTCTTCGCGAGTATTACGGTAGGCCTCGAGAGACTGCGATAGGTAGTTAGTAGCGGGCCCTCGTTAGATCTATACCGGTACGACGCGAATAAGTACCTAGCGGCTAGGGAAGTTAGATCGAGGTCGGTTCTAGTAGAGTCTATAATAGTCGATCGCGATATTAGGTTGTTATAGTAGCAATTAATAACCGCGCGCCTACTAAAGTCGTTATATCTCCGGACGTAGGCGCGTTATACGCGGCTGCTATAGTCGTATACGTAACGCGCGCCTTCCTTAGGACTCGCGAGCGAAGGATACCGCAATTTCGTATAGCTTCTCGAAGGCCGTAGAGGTCGATAGAGCTACGATAGCGACTAAGAGGGTCGATAGTATTGTATTTATAAGACCCCGATAGCGGAGCTCGCGATAGTAGGGCCTCGGTACCGGTCGTACGTACTAAATTACGCTTCCTATAGGGCTACTAGCGCGATCGAGTATACCGCTTCGAGTAAATACCGCCGGATAAGGTATATACGACGAAGACGCCCTTTTCGAGACTACTATCGAAGTTATAGCTCGTCGCGGTATATACTACGACGTCTACGCCCTTCCGAATCGCTAAGGTATTAACGTTCCTCGCGTCCACTAATTAGAGGCCGCCGTTGGCCCGTTTTAAGCCGCACTAAGCCTAAAGGGGCCCCAACTTTTGTTAAGTTGTCATATTATTAATAGATAGACGATAAAGTGCACGGCTGAGTCGAGAAGCCAACGAGTCCTGTCGGACTTCGATCGCAGCCCGGTATCTGTCGTCGCCAGTAATTGCTCGGAGATGCTCTGCTTTCCATTTCAGCAGCGTCTGAGGGTATGTTTCGGGCTGGAATAGGACTACTAATCCTAGTACTAGACCTGAAATTATCAACGTGATCCATTCGACCCAGCGCCAGGACAATCGGTCGGATTGTGCAATGTATCCTCCTACAATTGGACCTAGCAACGGGCCGGTGAATGCCGCGTTCGCAAAGACTGGGAATGCATAGACGCGCTCCAGAGGGTTCCACATATCAGAGATGCTCCCGCCAGCACAGGTCAAAGGCGTGGAGCCGAAAAGTCCGGCAAAGAATCGCAATGTGAGCTGGGTCTGGATATTTGGTGCCAGGCCACATCCCATGATGAACAGCATATAAATCGCCAAAGTCGCAATATAGACCGGATTCCGTCCTACAGTCTCACTAATCGGTCCGGCAAATAATGCACCGCATCCGAAACCGATCAAGAAGAGACCGGTAGCCATTGACTCGACCACTTCAGCCACTCCAAACTCTGCCGCTGCTTGGGGAAGAGCGCTACTGTCAATGGCGCTGGCTAGTCCGACCACACATCCGATCGATGCTACGATGGAAGTACATCGAATTCGCTTGAGCATAGTCCAGTTGTGAGGATCGCTGGGATCATCTGGTCCTTCGTAATCGACGACGAACACTTGTCCGTCGCCTCCTTCGATCGTCTTTCGTTTTCGTACTTCGATTCCTGTGAGGACTTGACCTAGACGGACGCCAGCACTTTGCTGCGTTGAGATCCTGGAAAGGGCGCCAGTGGTGCGATGGGCTGCCAGCTCGTAATCGTCACCGTCGTCATCGTCGTCTTGCTCCTCAGCGGTTGGAGTGTCCTCGGCAGGTTCTTGATTGTCGTCCTTCTCAGCTGCAGTATTGCGAAGGACATGGTTAGGATCCCGTCTGCCCTGAGGTTCTAGTACTGCACTGCTAGTGGCAAACTCGCCTCGTTCAATGTCTTTCTCTAATTCATGTTTGCTGTGGTCTGAGGTGGTCGATTGCGGCGAGTCTGGTTGGAGCTCTGGACGTCTTCCCGTCCGCAAAGCCTGTGCTTTTGCGCGATCTCTTTCTAGTTGTGCTTCGACTGTAGTTTTGAATCTCTTGTATTGTAAGAAGGACTGCATGATGAGTGTGAGTGATCAATGCCCAAGAATTCCCAGCAGAGAGGAGAGACAGAAGAAAATGGGCATGTAGACGTCACTGGCTCGAAGTGAAAAGAACACTACTCACACCATTGGTGCCGACGCGTCTAGTCTACTATCAGCAAGAAAGGGCAATGATTCATCGTTTGATTTCTAAAGAGCCAACGAAAGTCTGTGTGCCCTCGTGCATGGAAAGACTGTGACCCGGCAGCCCGCAGTGCCCGCATTGGCGCCGCAAAAGTACAAAATAATATGACTAAAGCGCGAAGGGAAGAGAAGGGAATGTACTAGCAGAGATCCTCCCACGCAACCTACTCGGGAGTCGGCACTGGGCGCACAAAGACCGTAACGAGATGCATTTTTGGACTGCTGAATAATGGACAACCGGCTTACGTGGAATGCAGCATTTGGGGGGTTGGAAGATGATCCACATGAATTGATCAACCATTCGGAAGTGTCGCATTGCTGCTCCGTTATCGTTTTCACGTCGTGTCCAGTCGACATGCTCCACAGAACAGCCTGATCGAAGCGTGAGCGCCAGTCTTATCCAACGCAAACAGATGGCTCTTTACTCTATTGTAACATGCACGATCGTGCTCTAGGTATCTGTACATGGTCGCTGATGACATCTGCCTTAAAACTTGAACACCTGGTCCTTCTCGTAACCAAGTTCTTTCAGGATGCCGCTCAGCTCGCCCTGGTCAGCCGGGCTCTTCTTCGCGCCCGAGATGGCCTTGTATAGACCAGGTGGTCCGCAAACAAACACCTTGATGTTCTCCTCGTCAGGAGCTGGCATCACGGTCTTGAGCAGATCCTTGGTGATGTGGCCCTTTCCCTGCTTCCAACCCTTCGGTGGGTTGTCAAGGACGTAGAATGCACGGAATCGCTGTGGAAACTGCTGTTCCAGATCTTGAAATTCCTTCTTGAGCAAAATGTCCTCCTCAGTGACGTTGCCAAAGACTAGCGTTACCTTTGTCTTGTCCGCTGGGTTCTTGAAGATTTGTCGGCAGAGTTGATACATTGGAGTGATACCGGTTCCACCAGCGAGAAGCGCGATGTGGTTGTGCTTGTTGGCTTCCCAGGGATATTTGGGAATAGGTCCCTTGAACTCGAGTGTTTGACCTGTCTCCATCTCGTGCAAGTGTGTGGACATTGGACCTCCCTTGTACTGCTTCACGAGCAGATCCAAAAAACCTCGCTCTTCCTCGTCGCTGACTGGTGTATATGGTCTGATTGTTGGCTTCTCATCCTCTGGGCCCTTGAATTTTGTAATGAGTGCGCTGGCTACGGGAAGTCCGCTGACTGCATCTGGGTTCTCGAATGCGAATCGCAGCCTCTTGGTGTTGTGGCTCACGGACTCAGACTTGTCCAACTTCAACTTGACGAAGCCCTGGTCGCCGCCGATGAAGACCTTGTCTGGCGGACCTCCCATCGATGGAGGCTTGTTCTCGTATGCAGCTGCCGTGAGCTCCTCTGCCTTTGCGACTGGGTCTTTTGTGCCTGACATGAAGTAGTAGCCACCGCCTAGTGCTGCCGCAGCAATGCCTCCGATGAGGAGTCCATTGCCGCCCCCAGACTTTGGTGCTTCGGAAGCGTATCTTCGAACGTGCTGCAAGTTTGTCAGCCATTGACGTTGCCGTCACAGGTTATGGTGAAGCGGAGGAGGGCAGAATGCATGGCTTTCACGTTCACTTACACTCGAGAGCTGCTGTGCAGGTCGAAAGAGGCGTGTGGAGAACATTGTCGCAATGCTATGTGAAACAAGTGATCCAGGATGGCGTTCGCAGAAGCAGCCCGGGAAACAGAAATGCGGCTCACTTGATGAAGCTCAGCAAGGTTGTCGCTGACGACATCCATCACAAATCTCGGACTCGACTCCGGCTCGGCTATAAAAACATTCCCAGCCACCCATCTCACACTCAGCCTATGTAGCATAGCTCGCGTTTCGAAGAGACACAGCTATGGCCATGTTCATCTGATGTCTAGCGTTGTAGCTACACTCAGATCGAGCTCGTCATGTCGACCTTTCTGGACCCAATACCTTGGAGGACTATCCCGTCCATTCAGCATAAGCCACAGCAATCCAACTCTTCACAGCCATGTCCGTCTCAAGAAGGGCGAAATTCGACTTCTAGAAGTCCATGAGCGAAATTCGAGCACAAGAAACCCCGAATTCTCCATCCAAAACTTTCCCCTAAACAAAACACCTCCATACACCGCAATCTCATATGCCTGGGGCGATGAACCACCTAGCAAGAACATCACCCTCAACAACCAAAACATCGCCGTACGACCCAACCTCTACGCTTTCCTCGACCAAATAACCCGAAAATCCGAATGGCAGCATATCTAGGTCGAGTTCGACGCTCTGTGCATAAACCAACAAGACATACAAGAACGTAACCAACAAGTGCGTATCATGGACCAGATTTTTTTCGAAATGCCTTGACAGTCACCGCATGGCTTGGATCTGCGCCCAAAAACGGAGACTGGTCGTTGGCAGAAAATTTCCCCGAAATTGCTGGCCGACCACACTGGAAACGGATGTGGATCGTACAAGAATTGCTTCTCGCGAGGGAAGTTCAGCTCGCGGTGGGAAAGCAGACGTTTGATTTCGAGCACTTCAGATCTCTATTATCGTCAGCGCACCATCGAACACAGGTTGAAGGATGGCTGGCTACCGTGCCTTTCCTGCGAACCCGGAATCCAGATCGATTTCCGATTCATCGACAGCCGCTTTTGAATCTCCTTGCCAACTATCGACATAGTCAGTGTGCGGATGCGCGAGATAAGGTCTTCTCGCTACTGAGCCTGATCCCGGATGAAGAGCTGAAAACGCTGGGTCGATATTTTTCCTGACTACTCATTAAGCGTCGAGGAAGTTTTTGCGATTACTCTGGCTTTCTTACGATCGAGAGAGGAAAAATCCAAGTCGGCAGGATCGGATTATCAGGATGCTTTGGCTGCTTTTGGCGCGTACACAAGTCAGGCGAGGGTCAAGCTCGAAGAGGCTTCGAAAGCTCATGATCAAAAGTTTACGGCCGCATCAAACACCACTTTCCAGCCCAGTTTCTCGCAGCAACAGGCCACGCCGAACACAAGTAAACCCACATTCGACTTCAAATCCAAACGCATAATCCAGTCCGCTCACAATCTTCCCAGCCTTTTTGCGGCTCAGGACTGGCAAGCAAGGTCGAAAAAACGCATCTCCTCACTGTGTGCACTGCTCGCTGTCATTATTGCTTATGCAAGCTGGTACCTTGCGCAACAACCATTCTAAGGAAAACAGGCTTGCTTCTTCGCGATGTCCGTGTGACCGGTTCAAACCCCAAACTTCCAATCCGCACCTCATCAATTCGCAAGTCCTCCACTCCCCAAACTTCCTTGCAAGGGAGATAAAGTAGGTCCTACGAAACAACACAACCAACATATTCTTCCAAAGCCCGTAAAATCCAGCACCTTTAATCGAACCAAAAACTTCGCCTAAAACCCAAAAACCCAAAAGCCGCTTTCACGACTTGACATTATGAGAGAAAAACAAACTTTTTTTTCCGAGGATATCGATGTGAGAAAAGGGAAAAAAAAAGAAATTCGAGATAAAAGGCCGAAAATTGAAAAAAAAAGAAGAGGCCGTGAGAAAAGAATACAACTAGCGTAAGTAACATCGAGCTGCAAGTAAAGGTAAAGAAAGGTAAGCGGTAAGAATATCTCTGCTGCAGCGCTCACTTGTATATACATAATGCCAAGCCAAAAAAAATTTAATTTGAATACAGTACAGTACAGTACAGTAGAGTTTAGAGAGAAGTGTTCAGAGATAGAGATCATGAGTGAAGGCGCGTATCGCCGGATTCTGAAACCGGCAGCACAAATGAATGCTTGCTTTCCTCTCGCTAGTAAAAATATTTGCTTCGAAGCTGTTGTCTGCCTGCCCTTTGGTGTCATCGTGTCTCATGAAATGGCTTCACGGTTCATCCTCCCTCAGAACCAACCTTGCCGCAATGCCGTAAATACAACCAACCAGACGCCTCGCTCGAATGCGCAGTTTTTATGTACAAATATACAATTCAATGTGGGGTATCATAAATGAATGAAATAGCAATGACCGAAACCATCTCTGAGCCTTCGAGATATGAAGTCCAAGATCATCATCTTCGCGGGAAAAGTCCATGGAGAGCTTTTCGCCACGCCGAAGACCGCTGTGCTTCTTCCGCCTCTGGATCTTCAGGCGCCCGGCGTCCAAGCATATTCTCTGCCCGCCTCTGCGCCCAATTGCGATGACTGGCACTGGCTGGTGGCTGTACCTGTTGCACAGGCTGTATCTCTGCAGTCGAAGCGTCCGGGCGTTGCAGAGGTATCCCGCTGTTCGCTGTTGCTGGGGCCGGTCCAAATTGGGTCATTTGCTGGCTATTGGTTGCGGGCGTCATGCTGTTCATCCGGCTTTGTCGATAGTGTCGAATTCCTGGCATTCTCCGAACACGCTGGCCAAAAGATGTCGGATCGACATCATCCTCGACAGTGTCGGGATCCAAAGTGACACGTTCTCGAACTTGTCTGATCATGCGCTCCCTCCTAACCATCGCATTCGTGATGACTCGAGGACAGTAGCCTTTGGGTAAAGCAGTCTTTTTGCACATCGGGCATAGACTGCTGCTATCTCGCAAGAAAGTGTCGACACACTCTGGGTGAAAGATATGGTGGCAAGGAAGCTCGCGCACGACGGTGCCTTGCTGTTCAGCGCTACCGGCTACAAAGTCGTCGAGGCAAATCGCGCAAGTCGGTTGGGACAATGGTGTCGGGCGGTAACTTGCAGTGCGGGCAGGGGTAGGCCGGCCGATAGAGTTCATCGACGAGTTGACCGATTCACTGTGAGTTGTACCGTCAAGCTTCTCGGCGTCCAGCATTGCCTGTTTGTTGGAGTTTCCAGATTTTGAGACTTCGGCCACGGCAGCACCAGTTCCGTAGGTGTAAAGTGGCATTTCACTGAGGAGGTCCTGAGGCACTGTAAGTCTTTTGATGCCAAGTGCTTCCAGGTCGACTTCGCCGCTCATGACGCGCCGACGCAGGGACTGTCGTCTACGACGCTGCAGCCAGTGCATGGTAAGACTCGTCGCGCCGATGATAAATAGCAAAATGCCGAGTACCACAAGGAGGAAGACCCATAGTGATGGGAGCGAAGTGCCATTCCCTGCACCGAGATGAGTATAGTCCATATTTTTGGATAGTTGTGCGAGTTTAGGGGAGAGAAAACTCACCGGTATCGATATCCATGTACAAGCGAACGTAGTCACGAGCGTCGTAGAACTCGGTGAGCTGGTGGCCATAGGGTACGTCAGTCATGTTGCCACTGTATTGGGCACTTGCGTTCAACAGGATTTCGCCGCTGGCGCCATTGATGGCATACACGGGGAAGCCATTCTTCTGCTTCCAGCTTCCAGCATTGGGGATGTCCCACATGGGGTCTTTCTCATCGGGAGGCGTGCCCGTGTGGTTGGCGGGTGTGAAGAAGACCATGCCGCGAACGGGATCGCGTCGGGCTGCCTCCATGTATTCCAGCGAGCATTGTGGTGTCAGCCACGGCACCATGGCGATCAGATCGTAATCTGTGTTGGGCAAATTGGCCTGCCTGGTGACATTTTGCGGGACGTATGGGCTGCTCGCATTCACGCAAGCACTGTCGCGCGGCAGGTCGGGCACATACATCAGGCCGGTGACATCGTTGCCGTTGCTCGCGCTTTGGGTGGAGAGGGTGCGAATGTTGAAGGAGGTGAGGTAGTTGAAGGATAGCGAAGCATTGACGCGAGTTGTCTGATCGTCGGTGCCGAAGCCCTGCCATTCTGGGTTGGGTATGCAGAGGGTGACGACTTGCAGTGACTGAGCGGCTGAGTTGTAGAGCCAATTAGTGAACAAGTAGCCGGACATAGCATGGCAGTGGTGGTCGCAGGCGTGGTTGGTGGAGATGGGCGGGGGTTGTGAGCGGGAGAGAGGTGTGAGAGGCGGCGAGGAGGAGGAGGAGGAGAAACATACTCATGGCGTTAGTGGCCCAAGGCAAGAAAAGCAGTGCGGAAGCAAATGCGATGTTCGGGCGGTCTCTCGCGCTGCTGCTGGGGGTTTCAAGACGAGGTCGGAGGATGGTGGTGATGACGCTGACGCATGGCAGTCGTCATGCGCGGATGCAGCTGCCTTGCGGTGGACGGTGGACGGTGGACGGGGGACGGGGGACGGTGGGAGGCCAGGGAGATGCAGCGCTGCGCTGCGCTGCGCTGCGGGCGACACACTCGTCGCAGGGCCGTTTGCCGTGGTGGACTGCGCGCGCGGAGCTGACACAGTAGTAGTCGCGGAGCAGTTGGCAGTGGGCAGTGGAGTGCCACTAGCACGGCGCTGGCGTCCGTTCCTAGGCGAGCACGCGAACCTTCTTGCGGGAGCGTCGTCGGCGTCACCAAGAACCGGCCGGCCGATGCGCAGTGCCCAAGATTCCAGATGGGCGGGAGGACAAAGCACGAATACAGACACAAGACAGCAGCAGTGAGCACGTGTAGTCGCCCGCTCGCCGCCACGAACATCTGGGGCGGTGGCAGTAGGTCTATCGCACCACCGCGCCTTAAACACTGCTACGGGCCTTGGTAGTCTTGGTAAAAGCTTGGTATCGCCGCCTCTGCCCAGGTATTCTAAACTCCAACACAGCGGCTCGCTCAAATGCATGTACTGTGGCGGTATAGCATCGCAGACAGTGATGAGCCCGGGTCATGCTCACCTGTTTCATGCCCAATCGCTGTTGCTATTATTTATTGATGTCTTCAAACACGGATATTGCGAGACACGAGACATGCCCCGGTGCATGTGTTCGGCAACTCGGTCTATATCTGTGCCATGCCATGCCTTGTCCTCTACCTAGAGCTTGGCGGCACGGCACGGTGCACGCTTTCTCCGCCTCAGTCGAGCATCGCGTAAACCACAGCGCATCCATGTAGTGCTTGATGAATGCTCTCTCGACTCACCGCGCCGAATGACTTGCTCGACTCCTGCTGCTTGATACTCCTCTTGTACGACTCGGCATGCGCAAGAAAGAGTCAGCCAGCTGCCCACCAGATTCGCCGGCACTCTTGTACGAAACACAAACGTGACCTCAGCCTTTGTGTGCTGTAACGCGTAACCCGCCAGCATGGCTCCCGCAGCGAAGAAAGGCTCGCAGGGCAAAAGCGGCGCAAAGAACAACGCAGACAGACGCTCCGTCTCGCGCCACTCGACACCCGTATCTGCCCTCACAGATGCATCGCCTCCCACCCCTCTCACCGCAACGCCCTCGACCACTACCGCCCCGAGCACCAGCATGGCGAAAGAGACTCCATATCTGCGGACCTCGACGGCCGCCCTCATCTCACAAGAACTGAGCATAGAAGCCCAAATAGAGAAAAGCCTTGCATCTTCCTCGAAGCCTGGCGACCCGCCCAGTGCGCGCGAGCTCCACAAATTGCATCACACCATCCGTGACACTGTAAATCGCTTCATGAGCAAGCGGGGCGAAGTATGCGACCGTTCCATGCGACAACTCGTCCAACGTCGGAAGGAGCGCATGCAAGAGGAGCGAGAACAGGAAGCCGCGCGCGCTGCTGCAGAAAGCGCAAGAGTCAAGAGAGAGCAGGAAGCAGGCAAGAAGGGCAAAGGAACGCCGCATAAGAAGCGCAGTCACGACGAAATGGAGCTGGACGACGAGAGGGAGAGAAAGATGAAGAGTGACGCTTTGCCCAGGGTTGGCGCACACGGTCTGGCTCGACAGGACGGCGTCGGCGTCTATCAAGGCGCTGCTGCTCCACCATCACCGCCAGTCCCGCCAGGTACCGTGCTGCCCGATCTCATGGATACCGCCGACTCGCCTGCCGACTCAGACGCCACTCAGCACGACCCTCCGCAGACCGCGCCGCTCTACGAGCGCATATACGGTAAAGACCCCACCGCCGCCGAAGACCCGATCATCTACGACATTCGCGACATCAACCAAGCCGCCGACGAGGAAGAGAAGCGCCAAATCCTTCAGGTAATCCAGTGGCCCGAGAGCGATCTGCGTCACCTCACAGCTGGCGATCCTCCTGATAACGACTTCAGCAACGCGAAGCCTGCTAACCAGGTGAACGTGTCTACTTTTCAATCATATATTGAGCCGTACATTCGAGCTTTCACCGAAGAGGATGTGGCCTTCTTGAAAGAGCGAGGGGATCGGCATATGCCATATATCCTTCCACAGCGAGGCGCCAAAGACTACAAGGAGGTTTGGCAAGCGGAGGATGGAATCACTGGGTTGGAGCCAGCCAAACGACACGTGAACAATCCCAATGAAGCCAGGGGCAGCATGGAAGACATGGAGGATGACATTGCGGATCAAGATACAATCAGCATGGGTCCCATTATGAGTCGACTAAACTCTCTCATCCGTCCAGCTCCAAATGGTGCTAAGAAGGACGATGCTGAGGACGCAAATGGCGACACATCCATGGTGAACGGCGACGATGACGCTGCGACCGCTCTCACGAATGGCAACACCGATGAACAGAAGCCTGTGACGTGCTTGCCACCAGATGCTCCACGACCGCCCAATTTACCATCACTCGATTACGACAGTCTAGAGAATCGAGCGCTTGCAGAGCTCAGATTTCTCGGCATGATCGGACCAAACGAAAGCACCAACTTCGACGCGCGCGAAGACGACGAGGTCTCCGCTCGGCTGCGAACGCTGCAGCACGAATTACGACGCGTCTCTCGCTTGAATAACATCAGGAAAGCACGGGTATTGGAACTCACCGAAGAGCGCATGGCGATGCAGGAGTACGCCAATATCGCAGATGATCTGGACAACCAAGTCAACGCGGCATATCTTAAGCGGAACCGAAGCTTGGCGAAACCAAATCAGAAGAAAGGCGGCGGTCACAGTTCAAGACCTGGACAGAAAGGCGTGGCTTCAGCGCCTGCCGGCAGAGGCGTATCCGATGGTGTTCGCGCTCTTATGCAGAAGCGAAGAGATTGGATTGAGATGGTTGGGCCGGTTGTCAGTCATGGAAGACCTCCGATTCTTGGTGATCAGGAGACGATCTTCGATGAAGCGAGTCTGAAGAAATTCGAGAGGTTGGAGAAAGATGCGGAATTGGGCGAAGTGGAGGGAGAGTAGAGTTCTCGCCCTGCGTCTGGTGGCATATCGCCGCTTACTCGTCTTACGAGTTAGGGCGGCCTTGAATAGGCAAACCGAGGCTGGCTCCGATTCATAAACAGAGCTGTGAGTTTTGCTTCTTGAAACAACATGAACGCAGACAAGGACTAGTGGTAGAGGCAGGCACAGCACGCACCTTCCACCATCGCATTTTTAACCGATGTGCCTGCTTACTGCTCCTTTCGATGGAGATCAGAGAGGTAGAGCGTGGAAGGTGCATATGTAGCGGAAGAAGTCACCACGAAGAGCGTGGGAAGGAGGTAGAAGACACGCCCATACATTTCTTAATCGCCTTGATGAATTTACACACTGCTGCAACATCGCATCAGGGCAATGCAGTGGCAAGGTGCATTCATGGTTGTCGATCCACTCACGCTGAGCGCTATCGTGCACGCCCAGCGAGAAGACAGTCGGGAATTAGCGTCGGGCGACGAGGGAAAGCAGCGTGAGGGCACTGTCACCGACTCTCAAGTGGCCATGCAGATGTACCGGGAAGATTTATGAAGCTTTGCAGCAATTGCTCGAGACAACAGAACAGCAGCAGTGGCAGAGGTGCCCTACGTGCAAAGCTATCGTGGAGCTCAACACAGGCTGCAATCACATCACGTCAGTGTCATGGGAAATCTTGCAAATCTCGTTCACTGACCCACCAACAGATGTCGATGCGGTGCAAACTTCTGCTACGTGTGTGCAGCACCCTGGCGGACATGTGGCTGCCCGCGATGGGAAGAGCGACGCCTGCTAGAGCGCACAACCGAGATCGTGGACCGCAACCCGAATCGTCGCCTCTTCAGACCACCTCGCATCGAACACGATCAGCCTGAAGCTCGACACCGATCACCATCCAGATCGGTCATAGCCCCCATGGCAGCTCCCACAACTCGACCCCGAGAACCCAGTCCGGCATCAAAACGGGAATCCGATTTCTCAGACCACTCAGAGCGGCAGCACAATCGTTGGCAAGATGGCAATCCCACCCCAAATGCGCCGCCAACTTTACACACACTCTCAGCCACGCCCTTTTATGTTGTAGCACGCAACGAGCGAATCGCTAACGCAATTGAATTTTTACGAGAAAACCACGCGTGTACCCATGACAAGTGGCGATGGGTAAGAGGTCCACATCAGTGCGAGGAATGTCGACATGTGTTGAGACAGTATATTTTCGAATGTCGACATTGTTATCTTCAGGCTTGTAATCGGTGTCGGAGGAATCGGCTTTGAAGATGGAGGAGGAGGAGGAGGGGATTCGAGCTGGTAGATAGATAGAGTGAAAGTATATGGATGAGCAGACGGACAGATGATGGGTGATTATCAGGAATTTTGGAGCAGAATATAGGATACTGTCTGTCTATACTTCTATGCACGCACATTCTACTTCGTGAGAAGGGACGTAATTACACGCAGCCCATCCATCTCGCCTTCAAATCTTTCTCGAATTTTCCCAACGAACACGCAGGGGAGAAGAAGAAAACCAGGACCAAAAATTTTCACATACCAACTCGCCTTACCTACGTCCCAAAGGCCGACCTGCCGGTCTGGAAAACTGTTCCCGCCGAATCTAGACCAACTGACCAAACACATCGATATCGATAACTAACTTTATTACAAGTTAAAGGCGATATTCTAAAGAAACCGACCTCGCTCTCGCAGTCCCTTTAAAAACTAGGCGAATAAGAGCGTATATATAAGTTGCCCTAGTTTTACCTATACGCCTATATAAATTCTGTCTATATATATAATTAACTACCTTTTCTACTCTATATTTGTTTAAGTTCGCTAAGTACAACCGGTATAATCTATAAAGGGATATAATATAAGGCTACTCTAAGCGAGTATAGTTATATATACTTTACGTATATTTATATAGAAGAGAAAAAAAAGGAGATTTTTTTAGTATTTAAGATAGAGGGGGATTCTATTCTCGTCCAACGATATCCATACAGCTCTTCACAGCCCTTGTTTCATGCTGGAAGATGCAAATAGGTTGCTGACATGATCTGCACAAGTTTGCCAACATCTTGGCGGCGATGCTCGCGGGGCTAGAGCCTGCGGGCACACGATCTCGACAAGACCTTGTACATAGCGCTCCGGCCCCCGTTTTCGTTGTCATGGGCCCGAGAGTGCGGTAAATGCGACTCGTAAGCATTCCTTGGATCTTCACGTGCGTGTGAAATTCTGAAGTCAGATTCCGCGGAAAGAGCGTATGCTCATCATCAGACAAATCAGCGATGCCGACAGAACGATCCAGCGAGAGGCGTGCCTGCGATTCGACAAATGTCTGGCTTAGGGGCAAGATGAGGTATTCCAAGACAGTCGGCTCACTGCGCTCTTTCGCCACGACCGATGTTTTGTAGTATCAAAGTCATCAAAAGTTGCTTGATGAGCTGCATTACAATTTCGGTCACGCTCCATAAGTCAAGCCTGTGAAGCTCGCTGCAGAAGCTAGTGATGGGGTCCACCAACCTGTGGATGGTGTACACGCTCTGTAATACACTATGTATACGACCCTTTTAGGCGAGCTCGTTGTGTATATACAAGGCGGAGTTATCGGATACGCTGATATCCCGCCTACAACCCGCCAAGCTGCTTAATATTGCTCGGATATCCTGGTATTCGGGTATACCCGATGTGTATCCATGGGTGTACACCAGTATAATATACGATGTACACAACCTCCATTTCTCAGGGGCTGTAAACCCACAACACTAGCAGAAGCACAGCTTGTCGAGTCGTGTGGTACGAAATCTCACGCCACCTAGTAAGACGTACGGCTACGCGCTTTTGTTGACAGCGGCCGTGTGCAGGTGAAGTGCGACTGCAGACTGCTGTTTGTGCGAGGAAACACAAGCCTGCATCCCTTGTAACACGGCAGATTTTGACAGCTGCAAGTCGCCAACGGGCCGCGTAACCGTACCGCGGAAGCAAGGCCACAATTTATTCTGTGATGCGCACAGGCAAGGTCGGACTTTTCGTACGCCTCGCTTATTTGCATGCAAGTGCCGTTCAACATACAGGTTTCTGCTGGTCGTACTTCTGTAAATCCAGAAGACCCTTAATGGCGAAGAATGACTGTGACTAATAGTGTGCCTCAGACCAGGAATGTCCAGAAGCTCGGATAGACGAATTCATCCTCGAAGATGCGCTGAACTTGCTCGAGAATGAATTTTTCGATCTTGCCGACATTTTTGAGGACTTGTTTTCCACTCTCGGTTTCGCCCATCTCGCTTTCAATCTTGATGGCTTCTAGCAGAGCCCCGACCTTGCCTGAATGCATATCGTGACTCGACTCATGTTCCGTCTTGGCATCCAGTGGATCGAGAATCGGTTCGCCACCAACAAGTGCCTCAGCGTCTTCCGGACCTAGAAAGCAAAGATTCGCACGTTTCTTGATGCAGGCCAGGATCCCGACGCCGTTGAACGTGAGCCCAGTGATCTTCAATTTCAGAGGAATTCCAACAAAGCTGGGCATGGGATAGTCCAGAAATACGTCGGCTGTAAGAGAGAGCTTGACATCACCTGCATATGTTGCATGGAAAACAACTTGTAGATCATCTGGACTTCTCTCTGGGTGATCATGTTGCAAAGAATTGGAAGGCATGTCAAGATCATCAGCAACAGCTGAGCCTGGTCGTTGACTAAAGTATGCATGGTCTTGCGAGGATACTGGAGTGGCTGTGGAGGATGGCGAGACGGAGCTGGGCGAATCTGCATGGTGATGCGCGCCGTGGGGAGGCATTTGACCGTGTTGGAAGTGAGCGCCGGCGACGGCAGCCAAAGGAGTGTGCGTACCGGGCAAGCCAGCTGACAATGGCAGGTGAAAATAGCCTAGATTGGATGTATGCCCCAGAATGCCTGGCGTCGTACCTTGTGTGAGATTGTGCGTGCCCGATGGATGCAGGATATTCAGCTGCGACCGACGACGCGAGCCATCTGCGTCGCTGGGGTGCCGCGTGCTTGTAGGATGATGTTCTGGAACGCTGTCTGCAGTAGTGGCAGCATCTACAGGGTCGTCTACAGAATCTTCTCCCTCGCTCTCGTAAAAGTCGGGCAAGGGATCGCCAATATCCTTGAGAGTGATTTCAGGAGCTATTTTGCCGAATTCAAAGGCGTGCACCGAGACCGATCTGATCAAATTGGGCAGTGAGATGGATTGAAAACGCTCGTGGACGAATTGTCGTATGGTCTCGGCCAGGGCAGCGCCGTCGTCGCCTCCAGTGAGCGCTTCCCAGTTGACGTCTACCGACATCTGATCCGAATTTGGAAGCTCGTAGGATGTTGATGATCCGCCGTCCGATGCGATCCGCGATATGTCGTCGTTCTTGTTCGTGACGACAGGGAAGAAGCAGCTGACGATGAGTGAATGCCAAGCATCAGAGCGGGTCCCGCGGCGCGGCGCCTTGACAAACGAAACCTTACTCATCCCGTGCTGTCTTTACAATTTCTCCGCAGCGTTGACTTCTGATGCTATGACTCGGTTATAACACGGGGCCGTTTGACGTCGGAAATAGCACCAGGGCTGGTCAACTTTGCTATACCACCACGACACTCAATACTGGCTGTCCAGGGCGCATAGACAAGGACACGAATCCGTCGGAGCTATCGAGCAGCATCGGCGTGAACTGCGACGATTGGCCAGGGCCCAGTGCTCACCGCAGACAGACCGTTTACCGCCTGCTGACTACTACTGCCTACTGACTACTCTAATCTGACGGCACCATGGGAGGCCCTGCTGCCGCTCCAGGAAGTCCTGAGCCAAATGCCCCACGTCTCTTGTTCATGAGTTCAAGAGTCGCTGACAAACAACCCGACCAGGATTGTGACGTGCAGAACCTTGACGACTTCCTGCCGCGGGCGAATCATGTGCAGCAAACGGGATCGCACGACGGCTGCCCGCATCGCACATCCGTTGGCCGCATGAGCCTGTCTGTGAATGCGCATGCCCGACGCACTCGTCAACATACGATTTCTCACATTCCGTTACTGGCCTCGGAGGCACTGCCGCGTGCAAGCTGGCGCAAAGCCAACATTTTCACGCAAGTGAAGTGGTCCTGTGATACTAGCCGGCACGTCCGGCACTCATGGATTCATCATCCCAGACAGAGACCGCTACACAGCTCCGCAGTGGCTCTGTACGACATCGTACGACTCCGGTATTACCAAAACATCGCTTGCGCCACGACAGTCCGTAGTATCAATAGCATTCGGTCGTTACCAGCTGTCGTTCAGTCGTGATAGTGTACAGCGTGATATGATCGCGTTATGATATGCCGCCCCGTATCAAGGGAGTCGTGAGACGGCGTCATTCTTCCCAACCGCAGCGCCAGGTCCCCTGCCGTTCAGATCGTTGCGCAGAAGGTACCGCATCTCCCTGCCACAAGCGACAAAACCCCAAGACATCGACAATGCGCTGTCCTGTCCTGTCCTGTCCTGTCGGAAGCCAGTATAACGAATGAACGGGAGACCTGATCTAGTAAGCCAACATGAACGCACGCATATGCCCCCCGCCTTTCCAATGCCCACTTACGTGTTAACCACCAGAACACTTGGTGCATTTCGAATGATGTACAACGGTTCTCGGACTGAGCACGCCGCAGGGCCCCCTTCTCGAGGCCGCGCAAGGAATCCTCTCGACAGTCTTGTGCTTGCAAACTGTGTACTCGTGGGTGACTTGAGTACACATGGTGGTGCGTGGGAATCGAGACGGCCTGAAAATGGCGCCAGACGTTAGCAAAAGGCCGAGTCGACGAGGACGCTGATGGTCTGGAAACAGCGTACAGTACCGTGCAATCGGCGAGGGCGGCGGTCCGTGAACTCGTCGAGAAAGGTGAGTGATGATGGAGTGCACCTGCTCAGCGGTCGATATATATATTTCGAATCGTCGAGTAAAGCCTGAGGTCAAGGCCAGGGAGATGGGTAATGCTTTATACTGAGTCGGGGCGCAAACAAATTCCATCACCACACCATCTGTAGTACGACGAGCTCTGCTGGGTTATGGGATGGGGATGCTTTCATGGCAGATAACCGCCGCAGTCCGCTGGTATGCTGAGCGAAGCAAGGAGCAGGTGTCAAGCTGCCACGCGGTGCAGGCATGTCCATTCTGCAGTGATCCATCTTGTGTCTTTTCAACGCTCTCTCTTTGCATCCACGGGCATCTGGCTACGAGCGAAAGCCACTCTGCGGGCCCGCATCCCCGGCGACGCTATCTGCGTCCCACGTTGAGGCCCAGGGCTAATGCCGGTCGAGTTGTGGTCGCCGTCGCCGTAGCGGTCGCAGTACCACAGGGCCCATCCTGGCGAGTGCAGTGAAGCTTGATCGAGGCCCCTCATCCAACGAACGATGGAGCCTGCGCGGAGTTCATGTGATTGCAGGCCTCCCAGGGCCAATGCGTGGCCTGCAGCGCCACAATGGCGATTGGGCAGGGCAGTTGATACATGTGTACACATACGTACTGATGAAAGGCAAGACGAAAGAGCGCCATCCCAGCCGACGACGACGCAGCCCGCTGCCTGAGGTTGTGGTCTCATCAACGCCGCTGGCCGTCTGGCAGCACTGGACGCTGGGAGGCAGAGTAGAGTCGGGTGCGAAGTGGCTCGCCAAGCGGCAGCGGCAGGCCGACGCACTGGCAGCGATTTCGATGCGTTTGTTTTTCTCAAGGTTTGCCCATTTCCACTGCCGGCCTTGCCTTCATGCCACCGATGCCCTTTCACACTCGACCACTCCGCCCCTTACTGTTGACACGAAGCTCAGGATTGCGGGTCTAGACGGCAACTCGCTGGCTGGCAGAGCGCTTCGAGAGCGAACGCACACACCGCCGCCAACGCCAACGCCAACACCCGCGCGCTCGGCTATGCGGTGCGCCGGCAATGAACTTGACAGCATGGGCGCACCGCATTCCATCCAGATGACGCACCGCAAGGCTGAGTGTAGCCTCAGAGCCAGCATGAATATTCTCCGCACCACACAAGCCGCGCCAGGACAAACAGAGGCAGAATCATGATATCTCAACCACCGCACAACCGCACAATGCTGCTGCAGCTTTCCGCTCTCGCTTCCATGCTGCTTGCGACACACCTCAAAGACAATGCTTCCGCCATAGGCTCCGGCCTCCGTCCAAGCCAAGCGCAGCAACGCAAAGTCTCTTCCGAACGCTGCCAATATGACTAAGAACAAGCCTCATCAGAACTCTCTCTTCGCCACTCCCGCGCAGATCAGAAGTCGGCACGTCTGCATGAATGAATCGGGCCCGACACACGCTTGAAAGCATCACCTGGATTCGGCGTGCGCCTGAATGACTTCCGAGACACCATGGACGGGGTTCTTCGTGGAGCGCAGCACCATGACCACACCGCTTTCACCGACGCCCTGCGATGCCAAGACTTTTTCGAGGAAAGAACGCGCAAGTATCTTTCCCAAGTCTCTTCCTCCCTTGACGATCGACACAAACGCCAATTCTGCCTAGGTACTCTTCGATTATTCTTCTCATTGCACCATTAACTACGCACACGACAGTTCAATCTTAGCTGTCACTCCAGTCCAGTGCGGCGCCCACTAATACACAGTCATATCGCCAGAAATGCCGATCTCGAATTCAAAGTGTCCGCAACTCTGCGTGGAGTCTGCCGACACACATCACGTTGTCATAACTGTGACGACTGTCGGGTTGCGAATTGCCCAGACTGCGCGTGTGCGCGTCATCCTCTACATCCAGAAAAGACGTCACGCTCCTGTGTCTATTCTACTATCACGAAAGCTGTAGCGACATCCCAGAATCGACATGGGTTCTCCGCAAAATCAGCCAGCTGGCTGTATGCCGAGGACAAGCGCGCTAGCCGGTCGAATCGCAGCACTGCATTGGCCACGATGTTTTTATTCCCGCTACTGCCTCCGAATGCTTTTCGTTCAAGCTCGCCTGGACAGACGGATGGCTTTCGAATGGAGGTCGACTTTATCGTCTCATAGGCCTGCGATCGTGACTATAGGCCACTATCGCCAGACTACGATCGACAGCGAGTCGCTCGCTACCTTTCACTTGCGTGCTGGATCATTCATCGAATACAGCATCACGATAGCTGTATAAAGAATGCCTAGGTAGGTGCCCTAGTCCTCTGTCTTTAGGTCAACTTCCAGTCCGAAACAAAAGTCCAGAAAAGCTATCAACATCGCGCCAAGCCTTCTCCTTCAACCGCCACCATCCACTTGAGCAACTCAGACACAAGCTAGCTACAATGTCTGCACCAAGAAGAGAGTCCAGATACCTCAGCCTGGGTCCCGTCACCGGCCCTCTCTGGGCAGAGCCAGCATCTCCAACATCCTCCTCCTCGCAAAGATCTCCATCACCACCAGAGACCATCGAAGCAGTCAACAAGTCAACACGATCAGGCAGCCAATCCAGCACATCTAGCGAAAGACTAAAATTTCTTTCCAACGTCGACAAGCCGCAAGAGTAGTAGTTAAAAGAATCTCTACACATCTCACTTGACGGGCCAAGCCACCCAAACCTTGTCTATTCATCAGCCGGAATGGCAATCGCAAGCGTCCACGAGGGTTTTCTATGGGATAGTGTTTCATGTCGTTGGGGAAGGTTGCGCAGGGGAAGCTGCATAGTCAGGGCCAGAACGGTCTTTGCGTTTCAATTTTGTTTTTTGTGTATGAGCGCTGCGAGTCGCGGAGGATGATAAAAGCAAAGCATTGTACTGTATGTATGTACCTTGTATGGTAGTCTGACATCTTACCTATTTGGTCGAATGCATATGTCGTGCCCCGTTTCGAGGCAATGACGAAGGAAACTTTTCTTTACAACAGCAATGTCGTGTCGTGTCGTTAAGTGCTACCCGTTTCGGTACAGGGTGTCATATGCATTTGCCAAGCCGCTCAGTAGTGCTTCCTTCCCGCCTACTCGTTTTTAAGGCTCCGTAGATCCGCTATGATCTTCTCGCAGGTCCGTCTACAATGTCGTGTCGTGTTTCTTCAGCTGAAGCTTTGAGCCCCACCCGTTTCAGTGGTGTCGTATAAAACCTAGTCGTGAAGAACGATCTGCAACGAGAAAGGTTAGGTGGGAAGCAGGGTTTAGAAGTTCATGTGCATTGTGCATTCGTAGCATATTCCCTGTAGGATCTGATCAGTATGCCAACATCTGTTATGTTAGAGACCTTTGAAATAACGCTCGAAATTCCCATGGTGCGATACCACCTAAAAGAAAGTTCAAGTTGATAGATTCTTGGAATAACGTTGGTTGCACTTCGGCAGCGGTGTCAACAACGATGCCGTTGTAGGCAGTTTTATCGTCACAATCGGCGATGATGATCGCCTCGATGGTGGGCGTTCTCCAGGAGACTCGGTTGGGTCAAGGCCCTTGGCGTTCTTGCCGTGGTTCGGTCGGCCTTGCTTTTGCTGGGATCTTTGCACCAACGAGACTCGAGTTCGGCCGCTTGCTTTGCGAGATCCAGATCAATGTCAGCGAGCCGCTGAGACATGCGTTCGTACATGACCGGATCTTCGCAGTGATCAGGTTCGAAGGATAGAGCAAATGCGACGTACTGCTTCTCAGGCTCGAATAGCGAGTTGTAGAAGAGCTGAGCTTATTTGAAGTGCCCAGCGAACTTCTTGGACCTCAAGCGGTTTTCATTCCATTGTCCTTTAGAGGAAAATCGATAAAGGACTCCTTTGGCTTCGCTGATGGTGCGACGCTGAATCTGTTGGGCCATCAGTTGACGGTGCCTTCTGGTGGTTGTGTGCCGCTGCTGCCGCACTTGACCATCCTTGTTGACGTTGTTGTTGCTCATTTTATTACTGGACACACTGGGCGACTGATCGGCAGTTCCTGGGAGTTGATGCCAAGACGAGACAGCTGCGTGTCTTGGGGGCTGAAGTATCGTCTGGAATGCCGATGCCTGGCACAAGGTGCCCTGTCCCGTTTGGGGAAAGTCCTCGTCGGGTTTATGATTGAGCTCAAGCTTGCCCACGTAGGCTACTGAACTGGCACGAAGTCTTCGGGCCAGACTTTAGTAGCAACTGTAGCATCGAGGATGCCAAATTCAAATTTGTCCTGTTCGGCTTCAACTGTCAGGTATGATTTGAACACTGAAGTCGCCCTTGGTGTATTACACGCTCCGCTCGGGACCGCTTCCCATAAGTCGGCTCGGTGAAAATCTGGGTTCTGCCCTGCCAGCTTCAGAGCTTCATCCCAGACAAGGCAGCAAGGCTGTGAAAACCAAGAGGTGGTGTGCAGTGCCCCTTGATGACAAAGAAAAGCTTCTGGATTTCTCTGGTTGATAATTGATTGATAAAGTGAAAGCATTGACTCCAAAGTTTGTTCCCGTAGAACTTCATTGCGCGTTTGGTAACTTGAGAGCATCTTGGATGAAGAAGACTGGAAATTCCGGAATGTGTGCCCCTGTCAGTCGCTGTTTGGTTAAGCATGGGCAATTGTCAGACTCACGTTGTTGCCCACAACGTCCCAATTGCCCTCTGGGTGTGATGCTCGATGTTGAAGCCAGCCATGCCATCACGGAAAGTGCCGCGGCTGCCCAATGCCCAACACGGTGAAGAACCGAACGAAGACCGGCGTCGTGCGCGAAGTGTCTGTCATGTCTTCGCGGGGCAGGGCGATTCTGTCGAGGAGACGCGAGCGCGGCGATGAGCTCTTCGCTGATCCAATAAGAATGGCTTGCTCTCTCGTGAAGAAGATTAGTCCCGTAGATGGAACAGCGAGGGAGAACTGGAGGGTTGGATCCTTGCTAGGCCGTGCCGCTCCGGCATTCCATCATTTCTTCTCGGAGCTGGCTCCGTCTCCTTTCGGCCTTTGTCCTTACTCGTTCGTCAAGTATACTGCGCGCAGTCGGCACCTGGATTCTCGTGCTGCCAACAGCATTGGAACAGCACTGACAGATCGGCCAAGACTAGCCGCCTTCACCTCACAACTGTAGTTCCGAAGTCCTGAGAGAGATGCGGTGCCCCGCAGCGTAGGTCATCTGCATTACGCTCTCTTTTGCTGCCTCCAAAGCCACCAGATATCATACCAGACGCGAAACAAAGTCGATCACGCCCCACTTTACCAAAAGATAGGATCGATGGGGCTCAGAATGGACGATTTGCACGCGCCTACCGTGGCGTCTGGCCCGAGTTCGCACGCACTGTCAAATGGGACTGTCGAGAAGAAGTCGCTGCAAGAGCTTGTGGCTCAAAAGGACAACATCGAGGCTGAGTTATCAGCACTTGGCTCAGTTCTCGACTCGGTAAGGCAGACGATGACACAGGTCATGTGTGACGTTCTGACTGAAGTCCAGCATGGCGTCAATATGCAGACACCACTCACCGATCGCGGCGGCTTCCCTCGAGCAGACATCGACGTTGCGCAAATCCGGACGACAAGAGCACGAATTGTACGTTTGAAAAATGATCACAAGGCAGTCATGTCGAGACTGGAAGATGTTGTGCATGAACAATTTGCGGCTGGAAAAGCAGCCGAAGACCTTCCCTCGCTGCAGGCCAGAGGCCAGTCATCCTCAACAGGCAGCTCGCCAGCTCCAGTTGTCGAGCCTCCATTCGCGAAAGTGAATTCGGTTGTGCCAAACAGCCCGGCAGATCAAGCTGGTCTGAAGGTTGGGGATCGCATTACGAAGTTTGGTACAGCAAGCTGGACAAACCACGAGAGACTTACGAAGGTTGCAGAGGTCGTGCAGCAAAATGAGAATGTACGTAATGAAGGGCTGCCATCTCCGTCGTTGCTGACTCTGCTCAACAGCGACCCATCCTGGTCAAGATTTCACGAGACGGCGGGGGAGCCTCATCGCTTGGACAAGAATTACGCCTTACTCCGCGACGCAATTGGGGCGGTCGTGGTCTTCTCGGCTGTCATCTCGTCCCTCTGTAGAAGACCAAGAGCATTTGGCTCTCGACTGAAGGTGCCAAATGGCTTGCAGTGCACAATTCCCGGCCGACACGTGAGTTGGATGCAAAGGTTACTCTACTCCATCGCGTGTGAAGTGAAGCAGTGCAGTCCGGAGAAGAAACTCGCGTACTTCAGGCATAGGGACACGTGAAAACCACGCGAAGTACCAAACATCGGCATCAATACACGACCACGGTTGAGATACGTTTACGCGTCTCGTCTCGTACCAAACTTTGGCTTGGCAAATGATGCCGCGCAATGAGCAGGTGACGTCGAAATTGACGCGCGCTTTGACTTTCCCACCTTTCCTCTTGCACTAATGACCTTTCCTTTCTTCCACATCTTCCTTGCAAACAAATACAAGAACAAACAACTGCTTGCACGCTTCTAGCACCTATACGCGACACGTTCGCCTTTGCGGGATTTATGGGCGGACTCGGCCGGTTTCAGCGCGAAGCTGCAGTAGCTTTGCATGCATACCACGCCTATCCAGCACGCCATGCCAACCCGATTGGGCGACAGCTACCTTGAAACACAGCTCCCCAGCCTCTTTGCAACCGCCCGCCAAACATCACGTCTATACCGTTCTACTTTCGCGATGTGGTCGTGTCTTCTGGTGTCGACGATCTCCTTGTCCTGCATGGAAACTCCAGCGTTTCTGTATCTCTCCGCCATTCGAGACTGCGTTGTGAGTCACTCTTCATGCAGCCAGCAAGTACAATGGACACACAACATGCATTTGCCGGTGAAGAGGTTGGCAGGTAGGACGTAGGTGAGAACTCTACCCGTTGCCATGCCTGGGTCATACACCGTTCATACCTTTCATTCTTCGCTGGACGAACTTACGATCGCGATCGCATTCTCATTTTGATCTTGGGCCACTGGATGACTCCATGAGCTACTACAGTCATAATGAATTGCAAGCAGGACAGACGTTCACCACTTGTCCTGGCTAGCAAGCCGTCATCTTCCTTTTCCACCGTATCTTCGGCAGCATCGGCCACGTCAGCTGGGACCTCACGAAGTGGAGGCAGCAGGCTTTTATTTGGAGAGATCGATACCAGTAGTGATCGATGTACGCCTACACTCACACTCCCTGCTCATTGTTGCGATCCGACTCTAACGCAGGTACCATGAACAGCTGTCGAAAGCTATGCATCAGTCTGCAGCTTTGTGCTTTGCGAAAGCAGCACGTTCCTCAAATTCTGGCTCGAAGACAGGTGCCGAGAGACCTTCCTTTCGATTCTGCCGAAGAAAGATCTGGCAAGTCTGCGACTGGCCTGTCATGACTTTTCCGTTCGAACAGCGCCGGCGCTGTTTTCCAACATGACAATTACTTTCAAGACCAACACTTTCACCAAGCCTTCGAAATTGGTCGAGCTTGACAGACTCGGCTTCTACGTGAAAACATTACGATTCAATTTGCCACATACACCAGGGACGATTTTACCGCCTCTTATTGAGCCCGAGACTGGCGCCGAGCTCAGCTTCACATACACTCCCCAAGTGCAAGACTTCTCGAGCAGGAGGCCGAAATATGGAGACATTGGAACGACTGAGATACTTTCACGACAATACCCAGCACTGTTCCATGCGGCCACGAATGTTCCTGCCTTCGTTCGGGCATTCTCTTCCTTCGTCAATCTGGAGCATCTGATTGTCAACTGTCCAGGCTACGATGTCACGAACCGATACAGCCGGACCATTGTCGATTATGCCCTAATCTCGCTCCGTATCGCTGTCGAGAAGAACTCCTTGAATGCTCTGGACAGTCTGACTCTTGCACAAATCCACCCTGGAGGTCTGATTTACCTTTCACCTTTGCTGGGCTTCGGTGCATCGCCAAGGTCAGCAGCGCGTTGGTCTCGAATCAAGCATTTGAAAATCAATGCCATCCGCTTGCCAGCTGCGGAAGGAGCATCTCCAGAACCGAACCAGTCCAAACTCCTCCAGACTTATCTACGTAATTTCCAGTCTAATCTAGAGAGCTTTCGTTTCCGTTGGATCGGACAAAAGGGACCGTTGCCAACAAAGCGACCAGTATCGAGGGCAGCCCCGGAGGGCCAACATCCTGCCCTCGCTCAACAAGATACGAGACCACGACCGCCACCAAGCTGTCGCAAGGCTGAGAAGCCGCTACACTTTCCCAGGCTGAAGAAGTTCAAGGTCGGAGGCATCGCTACTCCAGCCATCGACATCAGCACGTTCATCGCGGCTCACAAACCTACGATTGAAGAGCTTGATCTGGAAGACATAGAGCTCATTACGGGCACCTGGGATGATGCGCTCGCACCACTCCAGAGAAAGAGGAAGCCTAACCCTGCAAGGCGCGTTGAGGATGAAATTCCAATCATGCTATCGCCGACATTTGCCGCTTCACATGTTCCGGTGGCTATGGAACGTGTCGAGGCAGTGTCACATGATCTTGCACCGCACAGGAGTGTGCGAGTTTCAAAGTGGTTCGCGTCGAAAGGGAAGACGCCAACTGCCGCTAGGAAGTTGAGAGAAGGCCTTCAAGGGTGTGAAGAGCAGTTAAGGAAGGTCCTGAGAGGGAGTGCATTTCCAGCTTGGCGATGAGACATGCTTATCGACGACCTTACGATGTCTGTTCATTACTTGGTGTAGGCTCTACATACGAGATCTTGCATGGAATTAGTTTACGGCCATGAATGATGATGAATGATCAAACTTGAGAGTCCGATATCGCATCTGGACCCTCAAATCAAACCCATGTTGCCCGAAAAGGCAAGTCTCCCCGCATTGACTTCGACGTCCATGATGAGGAATGATGACTTCTCATGTCAAGATTGCGTGAAAGCATTGAGCTACTAACATGGCAATTTTCGACTACACCGGCAAAGTCGTGCTGCTGACTGGCATTGGAGCTGTTCGCGAAGGCTATGGAAATGGAACGGCAATGGCAGCCATAATGGCTCGGCAAGGAGCTATTGTGTTTGGATGCGATATCAATCTAGAGGCAGCGAATAAGGCAGCAAACAATATCAATAATGAGGAAGAAACCAGATCCCATCCGGCCAGAAGCAATGGAAAACTGCCGGTCGAGGTGTTTCAGCAGATTACAGTATGTTTCCAGAGCTATAATGGCCTAGCTACAATCACTCTCCTCGTTCTTAGTCATGCTGAGTGCTTTGCCAGGACGTGACCAAGAAATCTGCTTGCGAAGCTTTCGTCAATGCCTGTATGGAGAAGTATGGCCGTATCGATGTCCTTGTCAACAATGTCGGAAAATCCGAGCCGGGAGGACCTGCCGAGCTTTCTGAGGAGGCTTGGGACGGCCAAACAGATATCAACCTGAAGACGGTATATCTGATGTGCCATCTCGTGCTTCCGATCATGGAAAAGCAGGCCACGGGTGGTGCGGTGGTTAATGTGTCATCGGTCGCCGGGCTGAGGTACATTGGCAAGCCGCAAGTAGGCTATGCTGCCACGAAAGCTGCGGTAATCCACTTTACGAAGACTACAGCTGTGATATATGCGCAGAGGACAGGTGGCAAGGTTCGGCTCAACACTGTGGTTCCAGGACTGATCAACTCGCCACTGGTAGGTGTGCTTACCCACAAGTACGCTGACGGAGATGAGGAGGGATATAGGAAGATCCGCGATAAACAGAGTCCAACTGGTAAGATGGGAACCGTTTGGGACGTCGCGCATGCCGCTCTCTACCTTTGCTCCGATGAGGCGGGCTATGTGACCGGGCAGGAGTTGGTCGTTGATGGTGCTATCACAGATAGCACCGGACAGCCTGATATGGGTAGATAGGTCCAAAGGACTGCGTCCAGAAACCATTGCATGCTTTCAAAAAGCAGAAACGAAGCAGCTCAAGTCTTGGCAAGCTCCAAGAATTTCGATACCGAGACCACCTGATAGCCTCGCTTCTTCATCTCCGGCACCACTTTCTTCAACATCGGCACGGTCCATGATCTTCGATCGTGACATATAATAATCCCGCCGGGCCGAAGCAGACTGAGAACGTGCCAGGCATTGATGCGCCAGTAGGGGATGAAAGGGTCGTGGGGATAGATGCTGCCTAGCACAGTCTTATAGTTGGCCATTGATGCCACGTCCAGTATTCTTCGACTGAAGACTCCAGATCCTGGGCGGAAGTAGCGGTCCGTACGCTCCTTTCCAGCGGCTTCGAAGGCATGCTCGATGTATTCATCGACCTGCTGAATCTCTTCCTCCAAAGTCGAGCTTGGCAGCTTCACTGATGGCTCGTCATGCATGGCATGGTTCCCTAGTTCCGACCCGGCTTTCACGATCTCCGAAAGCATAGTCTCATGCTGAGGGACCTGATTGCCAATTACAAAAAATGTCGCACTGGCCTCGTTTTGTTGCAAGATGTCCAAGATTGCGCGAGTATAGGGGCTCGGTGCATCATCAATTGTTAATGCTATGATCTTCTTGCCGGACTCGACCTGGAACAAAACCTCCGGGAAGCGGTTCTGGAAGTACCTGATGACTACTTTTGGTGGCTTATAGATGATGTATAAGGGAATCACGACCAATATGATAACCAGGAGAATGGTGCTTTGCAAGGCCATGCGGGATCTCCGCGCTCTCCGCCGCGTCCAGCGTCCTGGTAGACGGAATAAGAGCGGCATTACCGCGCCATTGTGATGTTTCTATGTCGATGTCGATGTTGTCCGGTTGATCTGGGATGTGCTTTGTACTCTGATATTCAATGTCTGACCAATGGAGAGAGACGCGAAGTTGTTACCGCTTGGCACCGGCTCACGCAAATGCGCTAACCTGCTTTTGGTGACCCCCGCCAAACTCCGATGTCCCTCCAAGAGGCAGTGTTTACCATTGCTGATTCATTCATGTTGACACGAACACTGCGGCCGGCCATCACGACTATTGTCCAGCGAACACTCACAAGACATCAAGCGCCCATTGGCCGACGATTTGAAAGCACTCCCGTCTGGCCTTATCTGTACCGTTCGCAGCCATCGCCCAACATGGCACCAAACCTCAAGAACTTCTACGATACCGTCGATTCCCTGGCGGAACCATTCATCGATCGTCTGCGAAAGGCCGTGGCAATTCCTTCCATTTCAGCGGATGAGGCAAGGCGCCAAGATGTCGTAAAGATGGGCTTGTATCTGAAGGACCAGCTTGAAGCACTGGGTGCACACATGGAGGCTCGGCCATTGGGCAAGCAGCCACACAAAGAACACTTGGAACTGCCTCCAGCGATTATCGGCAGATATCCAGCGAAGAAGGATGAAAGCAAGCGCACCATCCTGGTATACGGTCACTACGATGTACAACCCGCAGAGTTGTCAGACGGATGGGCCACGGAGCCATTCAAGCTCAGTATCGACGACAAGGGTCGAATGTATGGCCGTGGAAGTACTGACGACAAGGGACCAGTGTTGGGGTGGGTAAATGTGATTGAGGCGCATCAGAAAGCAGGCATCGAGTTCCCCGTCAACTTGCTCATGTGCTTCGAAGGCATGGAGGAGTACGGATCCGAGGGCCTTGACGACTTCATCATTGCCGAGTGTAAGCCAGGGAAATTCTTTGCTGACGCGGACGCTGTCTGTATCAGTGATAACTACTGGCTGGGGACGGAGAAGCCCTGTCTGACGTATGGTCTAAGAGGCTGCTCGTACTACTCCATCGAGATAAGTGGTCCCGGCCAGGATCTGCACTCTGGTGTCTTCGGGGGTACTGCTCAAGAACCTATGACAGATCTCGTTCGCGTCATGGGCAGCCTCGTAGATACTCATGGCAACATCCTTATCCCTGGCATCAAGGAGCTCGTAGCACCAGTTACTAAGGAGGAGCAGGCGCTGTACAAGGACATCGCCTTTGAGATGGACAACCTCTACGAGTCCTTGGGTAGCCAGACAAGCATCTTTCCCGACAAAGAGCGCACGCTCATGGGTCGCTGGCGTTTCCCATCTCTGTCGCTTCACGGTATTGAGGGAGCTTTCTCGCAGACTGGAGCGAAGACCGTCATTCCTGCGAAGGTGGTCGGCAAGTTTTCCATCCGAACAGTGCCAGATATGGAGCCACCAGAGGTGGATAAGCTCGTTTTCGCTCACGTGGACAAAGTGTTCAAGCAGCTTGGTTCTAAGAACACCCTGAACTGTTATCTACAGCATGCAGGAAAGTGGTGGGTTGCGTCACCAAATCACTGGAACTTCACCGCGGCTGCTAAGGCTGTGGAAGACGTTTGGAGGGTCAAGCCAGATCTTACAAGGGAAGGCGGAAGTATACCCGTGACTTTAACATTCGAGCAAGCTACAGGCAAGAATGTCCTCCTCTTGCCGATGGGCTCCTCAACAGATGCTGCTCATTCTATAAATGAGAAGCTCGACCGCCGCAACTACATCGAGGGTATCAAGCTGCTAGGTGCTTACCTTCACTATGTTGGCGAGGAACCGAGCGAGGAACCGATGAAGGCATAATAAGTCCGTTTCGGCAAATGTAATCTCGCTTGCGGGACGCACCATACCACACAATTCAGGCCGATTCTGCAACAAGACCTTCCCTTGCCGCGTCTACGACCAGCGCGGTGTATACCTAAAGCAGGAGTTCTGCCGAGGACTAAATTCGAAAAGGCGGTGTTGGGTTGTGGACGATTGTTCTCACCGATTCCTTGGAATACGTCAGGGTTCGAAAATTGTGCAATGTGCACACAGACAGAAAGTCAGGCCGGACGTGCACGCCAGATAGGCTCAGCCGTAGGTGAAGAGTTCAATCAATCGCAGTTCACGAATCGATGAAAAGTCCAAAATCGAATCGGCCGCATTTTCTTGTTGCCTTGCTTTCCCGACAACCTACTTTGCTGACAAGAAAGCATGACTAATCTACTGACGCCAGCCATCATATCCAAGCTTTTCGCCAGCATTGAGACGCAGATATGAAGCGGCGTGAAAGTGCGTTCTCCACACTTTTTCCCGCGACTTGGGCGGAGGCAATCAAGTTATGATCGATATCACTGGAGAAAAAGCAATACTGATACTCTCAAACTCACTCTCAGCCGTGACAGCCAAGTCTCGCGCGAGACTTGCTGCCCTGTTACAGTGAGCTGTAGACGCGGGCACGGAGCTTGGGTCCATCAACGCAGAAAGTAATACCAAATCCAGAGTCCTGCAGTGCCGGCAGATTCGAGCAGAAGGCGGTCAACGTAGTCAAGCAAGCTCCTGAACTGGCCCCGAGAAAGGAAGCGAGGTATATTTATACTGACCAAGAATGCGAGGGTGGTGAACCGCCACGGCGGCTAGGTTTGCAGCGGCGGCTTGTCCACTTCCATGGTTGTTTACAGGCCATATATGGACCGCTAAAAGAGGTATCAAGGAAGCGCGCCTACGCCGCTTAGACAGCTTATTCACAGAGAGTATAACAGGGCATGACTCATGCAGTTTGACCATGGCTCCACATTGTGCCTCGGGTTGGACAACCATTGAAGGCCAAGAACTTCGGTTTTCTTTGCGGCCTCACGTCAGGCTATCCTTGCGACCATAGTCCTTGGCTCTTCGAAGCTGGACACCAAACCGTCTTGTCATTGCTTCAAATGCCACACGCTATGAGAAGGATCTCGCAACTCGCAGAGCAAGGCGCTCCAGGCTGAAGGAGGCAGTGGTTCAAGTTTTAGACGCTTTGACGCGTACACAAGCCCTTCACCCCCCTTCACAAGTTGTACGGTTGCTAGGCCAGACATGCTAGCTAGAGCGCGCTCTCTCTCTCGAGTGTCAGAAGAGAGATATAAGTATATCAACCTAAACAAGGGTGTAGATCGCGCCGCTACGGCGGCTAGGTTTGCTACGGCGCTTGTCTACTTCTATAGTTATTAATAGGCTATATATAGACCGCTAAGAGGTCTAATTTCGAGCTAATTTAAAGCCTTATAGTAGTATAGTATAGGCCTGCTTACAATAAAGCTAAACTAGACCTTATCTAGAGACTATTTCTACCTATTTGTTTATCGACCTATTCTATCTCTTCCTCGCATTACGTACCGCCTTTGTTTTAACCTTACTATCGCTAATTCTACGCTCTTTATTATATATAAGCCTTCGTACGCTAGGTGCCTATCGCCTAAGGATATAGAGTTGTTGCTTAGTAAGCTAGAAGTTAAGCGGCCGGTACGTATATCTCGTAAACCGTAATAATCTCGTACTAAGCGTATTGTTATAGTTTAAGAGCCTATTTCTACTAAATCTATACGATCGAAGGCGCCTATTCTTCTACCCTACTAGTAGTAATAAGGGCATTCGAATAGAAGGCTTCGAATACGACGAATACCGCTATTTCGTATCGAACGTATAGTACTATAAGAACCGGCCGAACTACCTATCGAATAATAGTAATAGGCGACTATATCGACGACCTAGCTTTAAGTATCGTATCTATAAGCGCTATACAGACTATTAGCGCGCGGAAATAGCTCTAGAAGTCGTTATAACTGCTTAGATACGTAAGAGGCCTTAGCGGAAGCGTATAGCGTATACGAAGCCTTATTTCGACTATCGCGCGAAGTTAACTATTATCGAGGTCTATAAGAAGCGACTAAGAGCCGAATTTAGCGAGTTTCTCGATAACTGCGTACTACGTAGTCTACCTAATAGTTTAACGGTCGTAAGACCGGCTTACGTAATGCTTTTGCCGCTAAATAAGTGCTATTCGTATAGTCTCGAGTTTGTCGATAGTCTAGTAGTTAATAATAGTATAAAGGCTATATAGAAAGAGATACTCGATTTTCGAGCTAGTAAGTAGATTCTTAGTACCTTATAGACCTTATATTAACCTGTTTCTAGGCTTAATGTTAGTCGCTTAGTTAGTAGAAGAAATAAGACGGCCTAAATAGAAGCAAGTATAGTACGACGCTAGCGCCGTAGCAATTACTCGAGACCGCGTTAGTAACGCTAATCGGGAAGTCCTTTCTCGATTAAGTAATAAGCGAAGAGATAGTACGGAAATAGGGGTTATAGCCTAACTTTAGTAGGCATACGACTACTTAAGCGCTAAATTTAGCGGTAGACGAGGCCTCGTACAAATAATTAAGTCTCGTAGACTTAATAGAAAGCTATATAGAGGCCTTATTTAGGCTTCTAACTAGCAACTTCGAGCCCTTCGCAACTATAGGTCTTTGTTTCTATTAGACTCGACCTATTATACGAATAAGCTAAAATAGCCTCTATCGATAGTCTACGTCCGCAATAACTACCTTAAATAGCTTCTAGCGGCTTACTTCCTTCTAGACTACGAGCAGGCATACCTAATTAAGATAGCAATCTTAACCCTTCGAGAAATAGCTTAATCCGACTAGATTAAGAAGGTTAGCGAATACGATAGATATAGGAAGCACTTCTACGTTAACGACGGCTGTTCTAGTAAAGCTAAAGATTAAGACGATTTAAACTAGACTAAACAGTCTTCTTAGATACCGCTATAGTCGATTACTAACGACTTAGCGAGTAAGCAACTCGGTATAATTCAAGGCCTTATAGGTTGTAGTATTATTTAGCGCCTCTACTAACGCTATCTTATTAAAACCCTCGAGAAGCACTTTAAGCGCTTTCTAACTACCTTTAAGGCTATAACTAACGTATTGTTTATTGCAAGAGACTAAGAAGAATGCTAGTAGTTTATTAAGACTGTATAGAGCGACCTACTAAGCTATAATATACTAAAGGCGGTCGAGAAATTAGACTATTTAAAGAAGAAGTAGATAGCTTCTAAGAGCGATCGATAGGCGACTTAGGTACGGCTCGGAGATCCCCTTTTAATAGCCGTTCGAATAACTAGTCTACTAGAGGGCTATTATATACACTTAAAGCGCCGAGATAAGCGTTAGATACGCAAATAGAGCTTGCAAGGTACGTATTCGTCCCCTATTTACAATGTTGTCCGAATTTATATAAAAGAAGCCCTCTTCTATATTTTTTAGAATAGCTAGAATTCCTTAGAACGGCTCCTTCGACTATATTCTTCTTCCCTTCTATACTACAACTACTAACAACAACTAACTATTTCTAGGCCTTATAATGCACCTATTCTAACTCGACGATTATATCCGCGAGCGCGTACGACAAAACGGTATTATTAATACCTACGGTTAGCTACTAATATAGCGGAAATATAACACTTCGGCCTTTAAATACCTACTACTTTCGGTATAGAAGAAGATAGCTAATAAGCTTATATAGTGTTATAAGGATATAGACAATAACAAGCCTGCTTAGCGGATAGCTCTACCTACTTTATACGACGACGTATATACTAAATGCTTCTGCTACTTCTAGTATAGCTATTACCTGCCTTATAAGTATATCTAGCGCTTCTATATTACTAGTGCGAGTGTTCTTACGCTACGACGTTGTTAGTTATATAAGAGCCGCTTTTAAGGTCTAAATAGCAATCTTGTATACCCTAAGTAGTATAATACTAGGCTTGTTATCGATAACGACAACTAGTATTAGCTAGTAACCGGCCCTACACCTATAGGCTAGTTTTGAGCCTATATAAGAGGCCTCCTTCTATAGAGTAGATAGATTATCAACCTCGTATAGTATATTGTTTATATTACACTTCTACAATGCCTATATTACAGGGCTCTAGTTATTAGCCTAAGCGATAGTCTCGTTATCCTATCTTGCTAAACATAGCTGCCCGTATTGCTATAGGTTATATTACCCTCGGTAGCCTATACTATTGCTATAAGTAGTAGTAGTAGTATTAGTTTCCGTCCTTTATTAGAGCCGAAGGTAGGGCTATCTCTTTATATCTAATAGGTTCGGGTGTATTAAAGGTAGTCTCTAGGCACGAATAGCTATAACCGAAGCGAAGGTACGATAAGAGCCTACGATACGGACGATACCGAAGTATCTTAAGGGGCCGTTACGACAAGCAGAGAAACCTCTTAACGAGGGCATCGCTTTAACCCCGAAAAGCTGCAAACCCTTAGGACTATTATAGCTTAGGGCCTAGTCTATAACGATAGCTAGCTTCTAAGGACTCGGCTCCGGGTCGAAGACCTATTTAGTACCGCTTGCTCGAGATAAGCCCTGCCTAAGGAGGAGATAGACTAATTACCTATCGGCCTTACTTAGTTTGCTAAGACTATCTATACGATAGCAATTTCTAGATTACAGGTCGGATGCCTAGACAGTTCCCCTATTAACCGGGTAGATTGTTTCGGGATTCGCTGCCTCGTTCGGATAGTACTTAGCCTTCTACTAGAAAAAGAAGGTCCCCGCCCCCCGCCTAGCTAAAGGAGATAACGATAGTTAGTAAGGTAGCTAGTTTCTAGGATCCAGGTATAAATAGAGATTACAGTTCCTTCCTCCGAGCGGCTTTTGTCTAAATTTACTAAACTAAAGCTCCTAGGGGTGTCTAGGCGACCCCTAGGAGGCCAAACTCTAATGCTACCCTAGGGGTAATATTAGAAGAAAACAGCCTAGTATACTATTTTCTCGCATAGCAATATCGAAACAAACCAAACCTACAATATATACTAAAAACACTTTCCTATAGCATTTCATTTCAACTACTTTATAATAATCGAATAAGCTCTAGCGAAAGCGAGCATTACGAATTAGCGGAATCTTCGGAATCTAATAACCTACCGGACCCTATTAACGAAGAAATCAGGCGACGACTAGTTATTATAAGCGCTATCGAACTAGGGGCTATCGAGCCTTCTACGCCCGAGGCCCTCTACAATATCGTTATAAAGATAATTTAAGGGCAAACTAACCTTCTCCGTTAGAATAGGCGTCGCCCGCTAGAGCCGGGAAGTAGTAGGAACCCTTTATTCGAAGGGTAGAACGCTACGGCGCACGTAGAACGCTTTAAGGACAACTTAACCGAGTACGGACTCGAAGAAGGTCGGACTAGTATAAGGTCCGGTCCCTTACGAGGACTACTATTACTAAGCTTTACCGAACCCTTAGAACCCTAGTTAGCTACCTAGAAAAGGACGACAAGTCTAATACCGACTAGGAGGTCTTTAAGTAGGCCTTTATAAGGGAGTATCGGGATCGCGATAGCCGTCGCATTAAAGGCAGTCGTACGTAGCTTAAGAACCTCTATATAGAGAGGCGTACCGAAGATAACGACCTAAAGGAGTACGTCCGCGAGTTTGTTAAGTTAGCGGACGGTATCGACTAGTAGGACCTCGAGAATTCTTAGAGAACGAGGCTACTCCTTAAAGGGTTACCGTAGTCTACGGCTAAGCGTATCTTCCGTCGCTACAAGCTTAGCGAAGCTAATCCCGAGACCTTTAGGAAGTACAAAGAGGTCCTAGAGGCTATTAAGGACGACATTAACAGCTCCGCTAACGTAAAGAAGTTCATTTACGGCGAGGACCGGAATAACCTAGCTTAGGTAAAGAGCGACGCCTCGGGAAGCAGAGGACCTAAGTTCCTTCCTAAGTCGTAGAGCGGTCCTAAGACCGTAACTCCTACTATTACTAAGCACTCTTAGGACGTTGCGGACTTAGCTAAGTCCCTAGCCTAGCTCAACCTTAATACGAAAGCACTATAGCGAGTTAGGGAGGTTATTAATACTAGCATACTAAAGGATATACTACCGGTCTACTAGATTTCCGATCCTAACTACCCTAAGGCCCCTTTAGTTAACGTCTACGCTATACGAAAGATCTATTCTAACTTAGATAGCAAGTGCTAGATATACGGCGGTTTTAAATATATTTAATTA